ATTAACACTTCAAATCTCACATCACATAAAAGATGACATTTTGAATAATTTCTTACATGAAACCAATATGAACAGTCTCCAAAGGCTTAGTATAAACAACAACAATTTAGAAAGACTGAAATCTGACATGTTAAATGGTTTAACTAATATGGTAGCACTAGACGTGATGTCTTCAAATTTAAGGATCGTAGAGTCCAGAATACTTGCATCATCAGCGAACAAACTCCAAACAATTAATTTTGGTGATAATAATCTAGAAACTTTACCTGCAGACGTATTCGAAATATCATCATACAGAGAATACTTCCAAGTCTCTCTGCATAAAAATAACTTTAAAACATTGCCTGAAGGAATATTTGATATCGCCATACAAAGAAGTAAAAATGTGGCAGTAACATTAGCACATAACAACTGGGACTGTGACTGTGATTTAGCTTGGCTGCAGCGATTAATAAAAAACAATATAATCAACGTTACTGACTTCCCAGAATGTCAGTCACCAAAACACAATGCGGGAAAATTGCTCAAATATGCAGACTTCAGTGCCTGCACGATTACAACTGTATCTTCCACAACTGACTTCACTACATCACCTGCAATTGAAACCACAACTGAGTCCATTACTTCATCTTCAACGGAAATAACCACAACTGAGTCCTCTACTGCATCTTCAACGGAAATAACCACAACTGAGTCCTCTACTGCATCTTCAACGGAAATAACCACAACTGAGTCCTCTACTGCATCTTCAACGGAAATAACCACAACTGAGTCCTCTACTGCATCTTCAACGGAAATAACCACAACTGAGTCCTCTACTGCATCTTCAACGGAAATAACCACAACTGAGTCCTCTACTGCATCTTCAACGGAAATAACCACAACTGAGTCCTCTACTGCATCTTCAACGGAAATAACCACAACTGAGTCCTCTACTGCATCTTCAACGGAAATAACCACAACTGAGTCCTCTACTGCATCTTCAACGGAAATAACCACAACTGAGTCCTCTACTGCATCTTCAACGGAAATAACCACAACTGAGTCCTCTACTGCATCTTCAACGGAAATAACCACAACTGAGTCCTCTACTGCATCTTCAACGGAAATAACCACAACTGAGCCCATTACTTCATCCACAATGGAAACTATTACAACTGAGTCAACCATTCCAACCACAATTGAAACAACTTCCAGTTCTTCAGTTTCAACCACAGACGCTGTGACAGATGATTTTACTACTCCATCCACAACAGACTCCACTGGCACATACCAAGACATAAAATGCACCTGCACAACATGCAGTGAAGACAGAATTCATATTTTAACAAAAAGGAACAATGACGAACATTCATTTGTCTCATTCAACAGTATTAAAAATTTTGAGATTGTAGAAGATGACCACAACAAGAAATTGAAAGTCAAAATTCAAGCAATCGACGAACATGTACTGCTTTGGATGAACACTGATGACACTAATAATATACGCTGTAATTACACTTACTTCATGAAAGAAAAACGTGATTCGTTAAATACGTTCAGTGCAGAATTTACAACTACACCAAATACATCTTACACAATGTGTGCAATATCTCAGGATATCACAATTTCCCCTCTGAACTGCCGAGCATACACAACCCTACCAAGTGAAAGTTATCGCCCATGGTTGTTGAATAACCAACAAATTATGATATGGGCAATATTCTGCTCTGCACTAGCTGTCAGCCTAATAGTCGGTGGGGTAATAATTTACACTGCCGTGCGACATAACCCAAGACTAATCAAGGGAAACAAAAGAGTGATTGTTGTGGGCCATCGTGCAGGAGAAGTAATTGTAATGCCCAAAGAATATAGCGTGGATAACGCAGGATTTCGCCGTATGTCAGATTCAAGTTATTATACAGCACGAACTAGCAAAACCAGTTATGTGACAGCCATTCAACCTACGCCAGTACAGCTGATTGCCTGGAAGTTCAACCGGATGTGGGACAGACTGATGGCAAACGGTGAAAAGGAAAATACAAACCAATCCACATCTCCAAAGGAACCACCTCCATTGCCCCCATACCCAAAGGACTCGTCACTTAAAAGTTCATGTGAAATGAATTTTCCACGTGATTGCAATTCTTGTTACACGACAGTAGTGTAATTACACCACAAAGCAATCGCCTCTACTTAGGCTTTTTTTATTCGTCATAATTTTCACGTGCTCTGCAATATAGAGATGCGAACTGCAGCTCATGGGTTGATGAGGACCATCATGTATTCTAAGTAAGTAGTCATACAGTTTATTCTATGTATTCAGAGTGTAGAAAGAAAAATTCTCAAATAGCGATACCAACTGAAAAACGTTTAAGGATAAACGTGAATGTATACTTGAGAAATGCCACAGTGTCTACTCTTTATAGCGAAGTTGATAATTATATGTTACATCTGTTTCAATCTTCAATAACTCTGCTTTTTTGCCTACAGGTTACATATATCACAGAATATACAGTGATTATTTCCCTATACAGCACTAGTAACTTGATTTTAGTAACAGAAATGTCTTGTTTTCTTTGAGGTACGAACTACATTTTTAAGTATTATTTAGATAAATTAATGCTTCTAAGGATTAACAAAATCCTGTAAATCATGTTGTAAGGCTGTGAAATTATTCAAATGAGAATATTTATCCTCACCATGAATAAACATGTTATGAACACTAACTACAGCACTGAGCAGTATTGAATGGAATAATTATAAGTTTATGCATATTAATTACGTGCAGCTCTCAGTTATCATACCTATTTAATGACAAACGATGTTTTAGATTAATATATACCGATGAAAGCAGATATTATTCAGATAACAAGATGAGAATATTACAAACATCTTCAGAGATTCATTACAAACTAAACTCAACCCCCAACTGTACAGATAACCAAGAGATAATTTTTATTATATATACCTAGACATTCATCACAAACTCATAAAAACTGATGTAAATCATTTTACTCAAATGAATAATAAACAGATAAATGTAATTTGACTAATATTATTGTAAACAAACAGACTAAAATAAAGAAGTATGTGCCTTTCTCTGTAATTAATTTTACGATAGGAAACAAGCTACCCAGACTAAACCAAATCCAACTTATATTTTTCAGAAGTTAGGACCACTGAGGCCGTCAGAAACATGTATCATACAACATACTAAGTAATCACATTAAATTTCACAAATATACCTGACTTTGAGCAAGAAAACTACAGACAGAGTAAATTCAAGTATGCATAACCTATAATTTGTAATCTTTTTGAGATTTAAGCAAGCAAGAAGCAGGGACCACCTCAACGGATCAAAAGCCATGGGACTGGCAAAATAGTTTATGACCAATTGGCAAATGGCACCGGCTTCACTAGTTGACTCAACCGGCACTCCACAATTTTTAGTTAGCATTGTATTCAACCAGTGATCTACAAATTCTAGTAAGCCTTATGTTGCATATTCTTCGTAAATTGACAAACTAGTATTTTTTAACCAACAGCTACTTTCAGGGTTTTTTTGTTTACTTTTGCAAATAAACAGTTGTGTCAAGCATAATCCCTTTACATCTTCCACTTGTTCGATGTGACCAGCTGAGTGATGTGGACGAGGATATATAATTTTTGGAACAGTCGCTATCCTTCAGGAATATGGAGGCAGGGCTTGTTACAGCCTCAGATCCTTGGAAGACAGATATGTCTGACAACTTTAAATATTTCATATCCCCATATGCAAAAACTATAACAGTAATTGTTACATGTGAATCATTATGACACCACCTCCATTTAAATATCCCACAACATTACCGATAATTAATTTGTACACAAATGACCTTGGAAAAACCAACCACTCTTTCAAGGTCATGCATCAAAAAAGGGAGAGAATCACTGCCCTATGGCACTGATATTTCATGTAGCATCAGTCCTCTTATTATTATTTAAATGTAGTTGTCAGATGATACGTTATCATTTAAATTAGAACGCAATAAAATAAATATAAATTAAATTAGTTTCATATGTGGTGTACTTACCATTTCCCCAGACTGCAACTACAACCTGTTCCCAACTGTGTAATTTACCATGCTTGCGTACCGCTAGTACTGGGTGTCCAATTTCATAGCCGTGATTTCCAGAGTAGGTACCACTGTGTTCCGCAGCACTTATATTGACATCCGACATACGAACAGATTTGTAATGTCTAAACGTAGCTAAAAAACGTTGTGACACAAAGAGTTTCACTTGGTCCATAGGAACGTAGCTAAAAAACGTTGCGACACAAAGAGTTTCACTTGGTCCATAGCCTCATATCTGGGCATGATGAAATTATTCGTCACATTGCCATGCAAATCTGATATATTGTTTTTTAATGCAATGAAACCAGATGGAGATACTGGCACATCAGCAAGTACGTATGTTGCCGTAAGATTCAATATATCTGTTCCTTTCCAAACAAAGTCGTATGATACTGAAATTAATACGTTATGACAAACTTCTCTTTCATCATCATAAGATGTCGTTAGAATATCTTCAACAGATCCAGAACACTCACACAAAGAAAGATCATCTTCAAATATTTGTTGATTAAACAGTAGGTTACTCACATTAGATCTGAAAACGTTGTTTGAAAATGTAACGTAATCAGAACCATTATTGAAACACAGAAATTTAAATTCAGTTTGAACAGAATTCTGTCCACGACTGTCCTTAGCTACATGAAAAAAATCTAATATGTCTGAAGTTTTAGTCATGGAATCACCAATATTATAGCTTTGTGCACTAAACGGTGAATTTGCACCTTTTTTGCACTGATTTCTTGAGATTTCTCTTACACAACGGGCTTCGTGGTTCACAAGGAACCTTACTGGAGTTGAGTCGCTGCAGATGTCACCGTGTGGATAAAACACGTTTGATGGCATTAGAAGATGTTTTTGCCTGTTGCCCAAAAAACCTTCACTATCTAAGAGCAAAATCTTTATTAAAGTGCCATACTTATAATGATCAAATGCACCACTGTCACTTGCTTCACCAACAGTTCTCATTTTAAAATAAAAAATGTTCTTATACACCACTGCACCACTAAATGCTGCAAGAGAGTCAACTTTCTTCTGTGTAACAAAATACTGGCCCAGGTAAGGAGTATTTGTAATCACATAACAAAAATTATAAAGCCATTCACTGTGTGAACACTCTGAGAGATGATAACAGTTCCCTGCAGTCAAAATTCCAGTTTTCTGACCATCCTGTAAACCTTCCAAGCAGGTGAAACTAGATTTCTGCTCTGGAGAGCAATCCTGAAACAAAAATTGTTAAGTACACTAATGGGTAATTAAATCAAAGTATCAATATTTTAATTTTTGTTAGGCATTCACTGCACATTGTGTATACAACTGGTGCATAATAGGGACATGTATGCCTGCAAGCTAATGCATTTCAATATCAATCTACAACTGTTGCCATATTACAATTAGTACTGATAGTTCTTTGGTCTTCTGTCCATCATCCTGTATTCTATAAACAGCACATAGAGGTAACATGTGCCAAATGAGAGTATGGCAGTTAGAAAGCATAGACATTAATGTGATCGAGCTGCATGGAGTAGATAAGAAGAAACATGGCATTCAAACCTTCAATAGGAACAATAACAATGTTTTATTCTACTATTATTCCCGGATCTTCTTATAACATACCTTATCACTGCAACAATTTATGTCACATGAATCATCTGTCAGATCACAGGGATACACTGCTACTTCAATGTATGCCAGGTGGTTATAATCTCTTTCTTTGTGAGAGAGTTCTCTCTCAGTTGCCAAACTCCAGTTTATGTAATGTACATTTGGGTAACATACACTGATTGTAAAACCTGAAATTTTGAGATAATTGAAATCATTAAGTTTGTATATAATTGACCTTATATCAACATAACATAACAGAAAGCCTTCCTTAACAAAAATTGGTATTTCTAATGGCTTAACATAAACTTCAAAAAATGTAACAGCCAGTATGAGTTAACCTATTCACAATAACAAAAATCCAACATTGTTATTTTAAAAAATTACATAGCTAGTTACTTACAAAACAAATATATAATCTGAAAATATATTTTCTCCACAAACCCCATGACAATATTAATATAACAAGCCCTGTAATCGTTTACAAATGCCAGCATCAAAAATGGTAACCAACAGGCAGCCATTTGTAAACAACATCCCGAATAGGCAGGGTTACCAATGCATGAAGTTTACAGGTTCAAAAATAAAATGTCACTAACATCCACAGTGTAAGCTCAGTTTCTCATTTTCAATGACGAGATGTCTTTACTTCAGCAAATGATTTTCTGAGGCTAAACCACTTCGTTTCATTACAATGCACATTTCAAAGGTTGATATTTCACTAATTCAATTCTAAAGGGTTTTGACGACGGTAGTTTAAACTTAAAATTATTTGTTGTCAGGATTTATTCCACCGTCTTCAGGTGAGAGGTACCTACTCTGTTGGGTCCCTTAGAAAGAGCTAGTCTCTGTCAGGGACCTTTTCTTAGGCACTGAGTGTATACTGAGACCTTCGCATAACCTTGACATATCTGTGACCACTAAATGATGTCTGAAATATCAGTCAGATTCAATTAACCTTTGCTTTAAGGAATATGAAGAGATTTTTTTAACAAGCCTCTCAAAAACTGTGCTCCATGGAGTTACAAGTAGACTTGTGGTTATTAACCGGTGGGTCGCTACCCCCAGTGGATCACAAAGGATGTCGTGTTAGGTCACACAAATGTTTTTTTATGTAAAACATATTTTTAGTCCAAGGAAATTTGTTGCGATGGCATGTACATAATTTATTTTGCCCGAAGGGGGCTGTGAACAGTAGCAACAACAACAACAACAACAACAACAACAACAACAACAACAACGGTTCGCTCAAAGGAAGGGGTCGTCTGAGAAGAATAGTTGAGAAACACTGTAATAGACTATCTGCCTTCTCAAAACATTTATAAATTCTGTTGCTAAATGGAATTTTTAGCTACCAACGATGTTTCTAACTTTTCGTGCCATGACTAAATAACGTAGAACCTTGGTAAAAAGGTTGTTTTAACAAACGCCATCCTGTTACTTATCAGGTGGGAAAAAACTTGCATAAATTAACTTTCACGTAGAATAGAAGTTCAGTTTTCCTGTAGTTGCCAAGGTGCTGTGAATCCAATTGGACTGAACTGACAGGTAGAAAGTGAAATGTATTTTACAAGTGTACATATTTAGTGATCATATATTTATTTATTCATTTATTTCTGGTTTATTTAAGGACGCCATCAGTGACTCAGAATATAGAGCGTCAAAAGAAAGATAATTAATGGATTTATAAGTTTGAGTGAAGTGATCGTGACCTAATTTAAGGTACTACCACGTCACTTGTCTAGAAGGACTGAGAAAAACCATAATCTCAGTCAGAGAATCGTTTCTCATAGCCGAAACTTAAACTCGCGAGCTCTCGAGTACGTAGAATTGCTAACCACTCTGTTTCGGTTAGAACGTTCTACAATCTGCGTTTTAATCTGATTATTCACAGGGCAATGCTTGCGAGAGGGAACTGTATCCGGGTCGGAATGATTCTCGGTATCTTCTTCTTCTTAACGATACTTGGCCTAGGTAAGAGCATTTTCATTGGCAAATATAAAAAATATCGCTTTTATTTACTATTAGCGAACATACTGACGGCTAAGGGACACTTTACGCTTTGACAGTGTTAGGTGTAAATATCAACAGAGTAAAGCCTAAATAGTGTATTCACTGAACACCATTCAGAAGATATTAAGAAGATAAAATCAAGAAGTTGAAACAGTTAGGCCTTATAATATTGATGGATCAAATAAGAGATGCTTATAAAATTTTGATTAAGACTTTAAGGAAAGGGACAACTTGAAGGACACAACTGTGGAACTTGGTCTTCTCTTGTGAAAGAAAATTCATGGCAAGTTATCAGGTGACTAAAATCAAGGTCGTAAGAATGAACTGAATGTGCAGGTCGTAAAATGGAAACAAGAAAGCAGTACTGAATTTCGGAAGACCTTTGAAAAGCATTCTATCAGATTCGTGTTCTGTTATCTGGAAACCAATGTAGTTGGTGAATTGGCCTCATCGATAGATAAGTGGGATGAAAGAAAACAACTCGATGCCCTTTAAAGGTAAATGGTAACTACATGTACCACCTGCTTTACAGATAATTACCTCTGTACTTGTGGGTTTCGTGTAAATGTCATAGCAAACAGCGATTATGTCTTTAAGCAACATTAACTGACCTATCTTCGCAATGGAGAAATGTTGTGTTTTCTTTTAGGTACGGACTTATCATTTATGTTATTTGGACACTTAAGAATGCTGCCCACAGAAGGTTAACATTAACCATCGGAGGAAAATAAATATTTTATACCTGAGATTTACAGTGTGAAAATCAAAATTATGGAACGATTCTTAAAAGAGGACACGAAAATTTATTAACACATAAAAATATTAGTCTCTCAAAGACACATTTACAAGATACAGATTATGTACGAGGTATGATGAAATATTTTCAGGTGATAATAAGTTGAATCAGTATCTGCAGCCTGACGACGTGGACGACCACGATTTCCCTCCGCCTAATGACGTTTCCTGCGTCAGGGAGTGTGTGGAAGACGAACCACCTCGCACATGCTACTACCGGTTCCTGCTGGAACAATACAACGTCCTGAACGCGTGAGGAACTTCATTACGAAGTAACACATAGAATGAAAACCCCAAAGTTTGATAAAGCTAAAAACCAAAGGTTCCGTTGAGTATGATCTCGTCACTAGATGACAGAGAATTATTTTCGTCTATCATTATCCATTTTTCTCAAAATATAATGGCGACAAATATTATCCTTCTGTGGTTATACATGGTCGAAATGATGATCCTATTCAAAATAAATAGAACGCGACAGTAACGTGTGGTGTCTACATTCAAGGGAATAGTGGTACTTGAAACCATACTAAACAACTACACCGGACGCTACCAAAACTTGGTTTCAGCAAACCACGATGGATTATAGGGAAATAGAGTTTGAGGTTGTAGATTGGATTTATCTGGCTCGGAGCAAAGATTGGTGACGGGGTCTTGCGAACACAATAATAATGCGGAAAATCTTACTCTTAGATTCACAAGAAATTAGTCCATTAGTTAATTTGATATGATAAATAACACCTCCACGGTGGTCTGGCGATCGGAACGCTGGGCTTGTAATCCTGGGGTCATGAAGGCATCTGCAGGCTCGGCCAAATTTTCAAGAAGAAACAAAATCAAAGACGTGACAAAATATATCATTTTTAAGGACAATGCAACTTCTGAAGAAACAGTTAAAGCTGCCGAATTGTTTCGAAAGTCGGACAGTTACAGGAATCCAAAGTCACTGCTCCCGTTCTCGAACGTGAGTGAAGAAACAAATGAAGAATATAGATGCAAAGAGTTAAAAGGTAAATTAAATGCTATTATAGACATTGTAGGAACCACGGTGGTCTAGCGGTTAGAACGCTGGCCTTGTAATCCTGGTGTCTCGGGTTCGATTCCCGGCGGTGCCCGAATTTATAACTAGTGTTGGGCAAGGCCGTAGTCTAGGGAACACGGAGTTTTCCTCCGGGGGCTTCCCCGGTTTCTCCGTGGCATCCCAACAATTACTCCATTCACACACAGAAGAAGGCAATGGCAAACCACTTCTGGATCATCTGGCGAGGAAACGAACCTGTCGTCAAGACAGAGAGAGAAAAGAAAGAGAGAGAGAGAGCGCTACCTCAGTTCACTTTTAACAACCAGAGTAAAGAAAGGACATTTTAGCTAGTCGCTGCATTGCTACCGCTGTCTCACTGAAATTGACCTGTATTTCGTCTCATTTCATCCAGAGCTTGTGGAAACTGCCCAGACAACATCACAGCGTGTTTCCAGCCACAGTGCGTGACTGCAAATGGCTATGAGCGTGGGATTCTGACTGCGAACAGACGATTGCCGGGACCAGGTATACAGGTATGAGTGGGTGGATGTACAGCTCCATCTGTTTTTAATCTTGACACTGGATGAGGTAAGTGGTTCGCTTTACGCCTATCCTGGTTTCCTCGGGGGCCGACAGCTGGCATGAGAGCGGAGAAACAGTAATTCTATAACCGGGTGCATTGACTTAGCGAGACAAAGATATTAATGCATAACTTCGGCTTTCCGTGATATTCGCTCCGAATACTGAAGGTTCTCCAGTAATCACATAACAAAGGAGCTTTTGTCTTCAGGGCGAATTTCTTTGGCGGGTTTAGTAATATAAATCTGGCAGTGGACGACGAGTGACAGGCGAAGCATATATTTGGGAGTACAGGGGTGCTATCGAAAATAAAGTGATTACGTGGTTGAGGAAAAGAGGTGAAGAAAATTTCAACGACTATTTGGATACAGAAACTTGAAAAAGTTTTGACATTCGACGCGGTTTATCTCGAAAGCCAAATTTATATGTAAATTAAAATTCTGCCGTGAAATTCTATGGATAACAACTGGAAAGAAGTTGTAATGTCATTGACATACGAGGTGCGTCCCAAAAGTAAGTTTCCCTGGGGCCGTTTACAGAAACAAAACACAATTTCATGGAAATATTTATTGCAACAGATACAGCAAGTGTCCAGCTATTTTTCAACATATTCGCCACCAGAATTGAGACATTGGTCATACCGTGGGACCAACTTTTGAATACCTGGGTCGTAGAAGTCTGCCGCCTGGGATTGGAACCACTGTGTGACAACCATCTCCGCCTCTCTGTCATTCTCAAAACGCTGACGCTGACCGGACAGGAATTTCTTGAGGGGTAGGAAAAGATGGAAATCACTGGGAGCGAGATCCGGGCTGTAGGGTGAATGATTAAACACCTCCCAGCTGAACTCCGGCAGGAGACTTGCTGTCCGTCGAGCCGGGTGCGGCCTAGCGTTATCACTGACCGCACTTCACAGTCGGCGGGAGCTGGAATAAGAACCTCCATCTTCAACAGCTGCAACGATGCTACTGTAAGAACGCGGGAAGTACCGTTAGTGCATGCGCCATGCTACGTCATTGCTCTATCACGTACGCACAGCCGCTTCGCGCAATATAAGGTTTGCTAGCTGTGAGACGAGTGGGAAACTTACTTTGTGGACGCGCCTCGTAAGTTGTCCAGACACATGTAGTTGTGGTTGGCACTGTGAAATAAGAAGGAATGAGACAGTGAAAGAATAATATTGGGCTCTCGCTGTATCATGGAAGAACAGTTTGTTAAAATGCGAGCTAGACTTATCTGGCTGAAAAAAAAACTATCCAGATGTGGATTTTGGAAACGCTATAACGAATCTTAGATATCATTAAAAACAAATTTTTCGACCCGCCGAATAACTTTCAAGTAACACTTTTAAGCGTATCCATTGCAGTATTCGCCTTCAGGGAGCTTTCCGTTCTTGCAGAATAAATTTCCAAGAATTTATTAGTTAGAATTAATGTGACATTTCTAAACTACCCGGTGACCTGAATAAATCTCGAAGTTTCTCGTTGTGTTATATCTTCCATTCTGCACTTACTCAAGCCGTAATGGCTTCGAATATACTTGTGAGGGGTTTGTCACAGTGAGAGACGTTTCACGGCCGCACTAAAGGAACGGGTGAAATTATCATTATGTATCTTCGTTGGTCTGCAGCAATCAGTACTAATTAATTTTACTTTAGCTTATCTTACAGAACACCGAAGTCTGTCGTGCTTTTATGGAGAGAGAAGGACGTAGAACATGCTGATAATTGAGATTTTAGCTGAGATCCAATGCACGCAGTACTGTTTAATAATCTTAATATTTGTATGCAGTTAATACACTGTCGTTAAGTAATCCACGAGTCAGCCTTGAAGTACTACTGCATTTGCAAATGTCAGGCTCCGTCTTGTTCATTTGTACAGGGTACATTTAACTCGTGGCTTGTCCTCCTTTACATTCTGAACGCTCATCTGTCAAGCCACACTATTGGACATCTTGACGCTAAGAGCACCAGTACGTATTATACTGGATCTCCCAGCTGCCAGGGAAGGAACGTCGTAGCCCTTAAAAGGTCGTCCTTACAGTAGAGGAGAAACCTGACATATTAATCCTGTTCACATGCTGTGACAGCTCCGTCGAACAATAAATCAGTCTTATCAAGCAGAAACTGTAACAAATGCCGGTTTGCAGGTATGTCTGGGAGACAGGGTCATTGTAGACGTCACAAACACGATGCCTGGAAGGGAAACGACTCTGCATTGGCACGGGATCTTCCTAAAGGGCCAGCCCTACATGGACGGTGTTCCTATGATCACGCAGTGTCCCATCCACGAGCAGGAAACTTTTCGCTACGACTTCTATGTCAACAACGCAGGGACATTCTTTTGGCATTCACACGACGGTGCGTGACGTATGTTTAAGGCTAATGCGTAGTGTGCGAGGTATTTTGTAAACTATTTTATTGTCATCTTGAACACGAAGTAGCTTAAAGTCCTGAGGTCATGAATGAGAGCGGGTCGTACACATCCAAACAATGAAACACTTGAATAATATAAATAAGAATCGATTAAAGGTGCATATTATGAGAAAATACTTAAGTGTCATGTTACGGAATGTAGATATATAATTATTGACTGTGTTTACACAACAAACTATCTCTTCCTGTCTCAGTATTTAGTTAAATAAGATGTTTAGGGCTCACAGACCCATCTGAGGCCTTCATTTAACTACTCTGCTGGTGTACACTGGACAATGTTTATCTATAATTAATCTGATTAAATGTTAAAAATTTTTGTTTCAAAGATTGTTTAAAATCTTATAATTAAATGTAAAGAATACTCCTTACAATATTTCACGTGTACTTCATACATAAAGTCTATATACATTTTCATTCAACCCTGAAAAATTCTTCGTCCTTTTAAAGGGCTAACGCGCTTGGTATATTTTGTACATTAAAAAAATTAAAACGTAAGTTCTGAGCGTTAGCTATAAGTAATCTTGATTATTTTTTTCAAGGATTTCAGAAGATGGGCGGATTGGCAGGGACCCTCGTTGTTAGACAACCTAAGGTCCACGACCCCAACAGCCAATTGTACGACTATGATCTACCGAGTCACGTGATGCTGATATTAGACTGGTACTACCTAGATGCCGATCAACACTTCCCAGGACTCTTGACCCATGACAAGTCGCAGGATGCGAACTCGTATCTTATAGGTGGCCGAGGGCGTGACAAGGTATGTTTCCAAATTCTGTCACACAATTTGTACTCTGTAACTAACACTAAATCAATATAATTGGCATTTCAATTATAATTCAGTGTTATTTTTTTTAATGAGAACATATTGAATAGGACCTCCATTTTCTTGGATTACGTTTGAATCCGTCTTAACAGTGGTCGATGATGACCGATCAGAGATTATCTTGTGACACATTTTCGGTTATTTGTTTCAGTAATATAAAGGATTGGAATGATCCTGTCTGGTTTTTATAAGCTAACAGTTTAAGCTCGTTCCAAGCATTGTAATATGAGGGGCTTAAAACAGGAGAATCTGATGGTTATTGTGTGGATATGACAAATTCTGAACAGCTAGAAGCTGCTGTGCCTTCAAATGAAGCGTAATTCTGCACTTGCAATGGGCGAGTAATATAAATGTAACGACGCCTGCTTTATAATGCATCAGTTGAACCCACATCACACCCAATTTCCTTGAGATATATTTTCATTGTGCCACCATGTATGTCCAGATCTTCCAAATGAACTTCTCCATTCAGGGTTTCCGGATAAAATTTTATATCCAATCCAGATGGTCCCATACGTGTGTCTTGTTTTATTGTTACAGAAGTCAGAGAAAGGGTTGAAAACCCCCCTCGCCGTATACCGGGTGTCCCGAAGAAAGAGATATCGTTTTAGGATAATCGGAGCCCTCTGCTCTCAATGCCCCGTCAGAGTGAAATTTGAGGGTCACCAAATGCTCGTCATAGCAACAGATGGAAACGCTGTGCAGCCCATACTGGTCGATTCTGTTGTGTTAGAAGCAGGTAGGATTCATTTCTGCTTCTATGGGAGTGCGCCTGTGCCAAATCTTCAGCAGAGAATTAAAAGACTCTTCTTTCCACGTGCTGTTGAGCTTATATATAAATATTTCACTTGGCTTCGTACTAGTAACTTTTGCGTATTGGCTGCAAGATGAACACAAACGATGCAGACGATTTCAAATATCTAAAGAAAACTAAACTGCTCACAAAAACAAGATTCTTTGTTCCTTGCATCTCCCCCATTCACGATTTAGAAAATGTTATTAAGCAACCCAGTGGCCGATCTTGTAAAATTAAGCGTTGGGTCCTGCTGTATAGAACGGATGACTGAAAATTAAATTCTGTAAAATATTTTACTTCGATTTACGTTTCACGAAAAAATCTATTATTTAAACAGCCTTTTGGTTTATATTATATATTTAATTATTCATTTGCAGTGTGCTATTTGGAAAACGCTTCTGATGAAATGATATTTTGACATTTTGACATTTTATGTGACTTTCCTGAAGTAGTCAAAAATAGAAAAGCTATGGTTCCGAGTTTAAATCCCGCCACAACTTTTTCTTAGTACTAAATACCGATCCTTTATAAATGTAGACGTACTGAGTCTCTCAGAATGGACTCTGAAAACGAGATAGTTTTTTACTGTATCCCAACCATTTTACGTATTCTATACGTGCTCTAATCAGATTCTTGTTTTGTATGATTTGAGGTTCTCACGGCGATGAGTATGAAGATTTCTGTCTCCTGGGTTGTTGCGCTGTATAGCATGGTCGATGTTTACCAACGTTTCAGAGGTCATACTGCCGCCGTCATCAGGGCGATAAAGATTTCTGTCTTCTGAGTTGTTGCGCTGTGTAGTCTGGTCGATGTTAACCAACGTTTCAGCGGTCATACTGCCTCCGTCATCGGGGCGATAAAGATTTCTGTCTTCTGAGTTGTTGCGCTGTGTAGTCTGGTCGATGTTAACCAACGTTTCAGCGGTCATACTGCCTCCGTCATCGGGGCGATAAAGATTTCTGTCTTCTGAGTTGTTGCGCTGTGTAGTCTGGTCGATGTTAACCAACGTTTCAGCGGTCATACTGCCTCCGTCATCGGGGCGATAAAGATTTCTGTCTTCTGAGTTGTTGCGCTGTGTAGTCTGGTCGATGTTAACCAACGTTTCAGCGGTCATACTGCCTCCGTCATCAGGGCGATGGATGTGCTAATCTTGAGATTCTTCTTTGTCGCTATCGATGTAACATTGGACTGCATTAAAGCCTCAAGTTCTGCAAGAACCGGCTTGTTAAAATATAAATTTGGAGAGCGCATGACCTCTGATTCCAGGAATGAGGGTGGACGTGGTGATGGATGCTTCTCAGCCAGTCGGCTCCTACTGGATCCGCGTGCAGGGCTTGGCACAGTGCTCTTGGGTGGGCGTGGAGCAAGTGGCAGTGCTGATATATGAGGGCTCCAACACAACGGAACCAGACAGGCAGCCGGTGAAACTGCCTTATCTTCCACAGAGCAAGGTAACTTCCCGCCGAAGTGAAAAGATGTGTACTATTGAACAGGCTTTCGCATGAGTGGGGGTCTGTAGCACGCTTGCAGAAAACGGAAATACATTTTGGTTAGAAACCTGGAGCAAGTAGACCGCTTCAGAGACGTACGCATAGATGGGTCAATAATATTACAAACGTATGTTGAGGAAACAGGTTGTTGGCTGGACTCAAATGTTTAGGGTACGGTCGAGTTACGGACTTTTGTAAACACGGTAACGAACCTTGGGGTCTTGTAAAAGGCGTTACATTTCATGTCGAGTTTGACCGTCACCTTCTCGAGAACTTTGCTCCACGGACTAAGATTACAAATCCCAGAAGTAGTTCGAATATTGTAAATAATTACATTTTGTAATGCATGCCTTTTTATCTGTGGAATAAATTATTTTGATAAATATAACAAATTTTAATTTCAAATTCTTATACAGTACGAACCAGAATTAAACTTTGAAACAATTTTTGTGCATTATCGTCGTTATGAACAGCAATGACTTATTTCGTATGCTTGGGAAATATGAGCACGTTGTTTGATTAGGAGCTGAACGCTGAGAATGGGACCTGCGGCCCTGGGCAACAAGGGATCTGCATTCACCAGCTAACAGGCGTCGTCTCTGTCCCTGAAGACATCCTCAAGCCCCAGCCAGACCTGAATTTGGTCTTGAAGTTCGACATGCATTACTACTCCTCTGACGAACTATTTCGCTCAGGAACATACAACAGATATCAGCGTAAGAAGTTCTAACCTCTTTTCTCTGAAGTTTCCTTTACTTCTCTGTTTATTTTCATATTCATTACATTCTTTAAAGAAAGTACATGTTATTAATTTTTAATATTGAGGTTATTCTGTCTGTCCGCATGTTTAATCTCCCAAACTTTTAATGGACCTTAATTAAATTTAATATTGTGGAGTATGCATCAAATCTGACACGGAATATAATTTATTTCTTTAGATGCATTTTCATTTAATCTCCTGTTGTAAAGTATGCATCAAAACTGTCTGATTTATATCAGATGGATCTTAAACAGATTTTATATTGTGGATTGCGTCAGCGTAGGAAAAATTCAGATTTCAGGTGTGGACTAAATTTATCTCATATATAATAAATTTTAGGTCAATACACAAAACTTTATTTGGATGTTACAATTTTAAATTTTAAATTTGCGCCATTCACCACTATAAGGATGTTACATTAGAGCGCTTTCATTCATTTCACAACATGTTTCGATGTAATACATCATCTTCAGGTGTTGTTTTTTAAAACTATTCTATATTATAATGCATGCTTTTCAATAATTCATTATTGTAACATGCATTATAATATAGAATAGTTTTAAAAAACAACACCTGAAGATGATGTATTACATCGAAACATGTTGTGAAATGAATGAAAGCGCTCTAATGTAACATCCTTATAGTGGTGAATGGCGCAAATTTAAAATTTAAAATTGTAACATCCAAATAAAGTTTTGTGTATTGACCTGTAATTTATTATATATTTTAATCAAAAACACAAACATGACGCATGTAAACCTTAGATTTATCTCATTTTACAGACCGGTGGCGTGCTCTTGTGAACCCTGTAGTAAACCCTAGGTTCAACAAAATGCGAGAAATCTCTTAAGTATCTGAGTGTACTATTCAATACTAAAGAAGGATTTTGCTGCACGGATTTAGTCAATAAATATAATTCGGTTCGTACAGAATGGTTCTTAATTAAATTTCCTATTATGGAGTGTATATATATCAATGCTGGCACAGAACATAATTTGGTTTCTATCAATTTAAAGTTACGCCTACTTTACATGAATTTAAATTGACCTTCATCAATTTCTGTTCCATTTAACAATGAAAAGGGACGAAATGTTCTCAACGGCTGCTAATTTCCCCAATTTTTCGTCTCTAAACCCCTGAAATGATGGGAATCAATGGGAGTAAAATTAAAGAAAACCATGTAAGGGAAAAGACCCCCCCCCCCAGCGGGGCTGTCGACCAAGGCGAGAAGGGGCAGAACCCTTAGTATTTATATGTAAAAGAATGATGTCAAGTCACTGAGTGTTCTTTAATTTATAATTAATAGAATATAGTTTTAGGTTGCTACGTACGACCCGAAAGATCTGTGTTCTATAAAATAATGTCATTCGTAACTGTCATCAGAGCCAGCACGTGGAGATCGACGTCTGACAGGTGAAATCAACAACATATCAAGCGTTCTCCCTTCGTCGCCGGTGCTGAGCCAATGGGAAGACATTCCACCAGAAGAATTCTGTCCCCTGACACCTGATGGAGCTCCACACTGTAACAGGTCCAACTGCCACTGTCTGCACTTCAGACGCATTCAATCAGGGGCAATAGTTCAAATCGTACTGCTTGATCAGTGTGAGTTAATTGCATTGCCCAATTCTTAAGTTAAGCCAGAAGAACCGCGATCTTAAAACAGAAATTTGTTCTGGCCACATGCATGAAAATAAATTCTGTTATGGTCGAATTTAAAATTAAAATTTTACTTTTAATTTCCGAAATATACCCACGTCAAGGGACGTATGCATTGTTCTCCCGCCATTGTTTGAAGTTTTATGTTTCAGCGGTATATGGAGGCGTAAACCATGCGTTCCATTTGCATGGCCATAAGTTCGTCGTTCTTGCTATGGGAGTTTTTAAGAATGAGTCGAATTTGGACACCGTGCTGAAGGAGTTCATGGCGCGCAACCTGAGTGAGTCCACCGTCCCTCCATTTGTTGACACCCTCGGTGTCCCCAGTAAGGGATACGCCATTGTTCGCTTCAAGGCGGACAATCCAGGTAAGGAGACGTACAATCCTGGAGAAGTACATGGAAATATTTTTCAAGTTAGCTACTGGTTTAGAATTTGAGACTTTAGCGGCGAGTACAACCAATAAAATCTTCTCGGGAAATCACCCGCGTTAACTGGTTACCGTAGTAAACCGACGTTTCGGGAACCGACTCTGCCCCCATCATCAGAATCCTGTTACTGCGGTAACCAGTTAACGAGGCTGATTGCTCTAGAAGATTTTATTGGTTAACTACTGGTTATTCCATTACGACGTTACAAACAGTCTCATATTGTTGAATGCTTCAACGCCACGTGTTTTAAGCACTAATACGAAATATGTTGCAGGTCGCAAAGTCCTGATAGTACAATATCGAAACATGTTTCAGGTTACTGGATGTTTCACTGCCATGTCTTGATTCATCAGGAGACAGGCATGTTCATTCTGTTTCAAGTTGGCAACAGAACAGATCTTCCAACTGTACCTGAAGAATTCCCCAAATGTGGCAATTACATACCTTCTGTTAGTTATTCAAAGTCGTCTGGGACTTGTAATTCGAAAATATCTGTGACATACATAAGTGCACTTATGACATGCTTATTTTTACTATATAATAAACCACTTGTTAATCTTTATTCGCCCTTCTAAACACTGGTCTCCATCAATTCCTGTTAATGTGTTTGCATAATAACGTATAATCTCTATTCTTGAATAAAATCAAACAGTTTTTAAATAAAAATAAATGTGGAGACGATCTTTTTTTCATAGGACGAAAAACGCATTAAATTCCTTAAATTGAGAATCACGAAATGGAGAAAAATAATACATTTGATACGCAATGCTTCGGCTGGGACTACAGAAATGACACCCAAATTTGACAAAATCTTCGATGTTTAACCTAAAATCGGGGTTTCGTAACAAATAAGTAGTACTAATGTCTTTAACGGGTGCATCTCGTTCGTAGGACGAAAAATGTTAATGTAGAATAGAACAGAAGGAGGCAGAAACTGAACAGTTTTAACCGGACATGTAACTGTTTCGTTCAGATCTATTATTAAACACTAAATTATGAAGTGTAACGATTTATTTATATATAAGCAAATTTTACATCGTCCTCATATTACAGAGGCGATGTGAGATTGCGTCAGTGTGACGTTCATAATGGCATTTATTTGTACAAATTTTGTGTTAATGAAAGCAAATCGGAACAATAAAAGAAAGAGACAAACTTTAAGCACGTTTTTGTTATTTAATTCAATTTTCTTTCTTATAAAACGATTCCTTCCTTGAACACAACAGAATCAAATCTTTATGTGAATCAGCTATCTTGTGTATTTGTGGTCGGATGTTACGATACGTAGCTTGTACTAAAATGGGATGATGAACGAGGCTGGTGGTCAGACCATGGCATCTAGATGTTGTGTGACACGACAAAATAGCGTAAAATTAAAGTTTTAATTGTTGCCTAACACTATCTTACTCAGTCTATACTGCTATTACTATGTAAGAAGCAGTGGGCCTTCACTTCCGATCATTTAGTGAAATTCCTGTATTTGAATTATAAAAACGAAATTACCTTTTCTCTGAGACCAGCTAAGCGCCGGGTCAAAGGCGAAGCCCGTAAATTGGGGCCAATGTTACAATAATTAACTTTATGGTAAGAGCTGTCACGTAGTTGGGAGGTGATTAGAGTGTATACAAAAACCGACTTTTGAAAAAACCGGTTTTCGAATTCCAGTATTTCCCAAAAAAACCCGGTTAAACCGGTTTTTGAATTTTTACAAAAAAACGAAAATATAATTTAAACAGTAAAAAATATTTATACTTATTATAAAAAATTCAGCTTATTTAATATTTATGGAACTACAAAAATATAACAAAATAAAATATACTCCATACAAAACCAAATAAACGAAAACTAAAGTAACTAAAATCCGTACAAAATATAAATTATAAATTTTTATTTCATTTAGTATTTTTCTTCAGGAAATATGATTTCAAAAAACATAAAATGTCCACCGAACGATTCCTTAATCTTGTTCTTATTCTAGATATAGAATTGCCTGAAATAGAAAATACTCTCTCACTGGATTTGCGTGTCAAACATTCGCCTGACTCATGAAGATTAGTTTTACTACAATATTCTTGTACCCGAGGCGATTTCAAATCAGAATGTTAACGTTTTTAATCAATTAATTAATTTTTACATATAGTAGTATCTAAAACCGGGTTTTTTAAATTTTAAAAACCGGTTTTCGAATTTTACAAATTTATCCAAAAAAAACTGTTTTTAAACCCGGTTTTTAAAATCCGACAAACCCTAGAGGTGATGAAAGTACTGAAAAATAGTGTAATGATCATCAGCAAAGGAAAACCGAAGAATTAGGAGAAAACCCTGTTTCAGAGCCACTTCGTACACCAGAATTTCACTTCGGGATTGAACCCGATCAAGGTTACTACTTGTATCGAAAATATCCTCCTGTATGCTCACCACAATAAGGTAAGCAATTAGGGCACTATTTGGCTCTATAAGATATAATATGTAAATTTTATGAAAGATGAAAACAACTACATAATGATGAGCTTCATAATTTATGAGTCATACAATATTATTTGAATGATCAAATTATGGAGAATATGGTGAGGGACAGCGTAACACGCATAGGGGTGATGAAAAATGCATACAAAATTTTTATCGAAAATCCATGTGGGAAACCTATAAGCGAAAAAGCGACATTACTGTAATAAATAAATTTAAAAAAAATGGGAAGTAAAAAAAATGGATTCAACTAGTTACTAGCAGTGGACGGTCATAAACCTTCGGATTCCATAACAGACGATGAATTTCTTCGGCAGGTGAGAGGCTGTAAGCTTATCAAGAATCGAAGTTATGCCCCGTGGAGCAAGCTCCTTACTTGGTTTAACAACTATTTTAATATTATCCTTCAAGTTATGCCTGTTTTCCACGTGATATTTTCTCTTGAGGTTATCCAACCATCATATTATATGAATTTCTCGCTTTTCCACTGCAAGTTCCCATCATTAATTTGTATCAGTAATTCCTTGATAAAAAGAACCTAACGCCCAAAAAGACAAACAAAATGGCTTCATTGCTGCTATTTCTGTTGTTATGCGGATTTTCCTGCTTCAATATCTTAATTATGCAAAAGTGGCACATTTCCATAATTATGGAATATTTTATTCCTTTTACATCAATTTCCTTGTTAACTAGAAACCGGCAATAGATAGGGTATCATTCATTAGCCTTGACCATGAAAATACCGTTTTGGTCGATCGATTCGTGCTTATATTTTGGAAATTCCGTGTCTGACGATAAAGTTTAAGCCGGAAAATTCTGACAGTAACGAGTTCTTACTAACCTAACACTCCAGGTAAACACTGGAATGTTAATTTCAAATAAGGCTTGGCAGTTTCCTTCTACATCCCTTTCAGTTTACAACTCAAAAGTTTCTCATGGTATAAAAACAGCAAGCCTAAGCACTGCGTAACAATTCTGTTACGGTCGCCATAATTTAATCTTTTATCTCTGCCAATGGCGATGGTAACGTTAGAGTTACATGAGTGACTGAGAATCCCCCAGATAAAATAAGCAAACAAGAAACAATAGAACAATTTCAGAACTCCTAACGCAGAGCAGTGTCTCTATAATTTGCGTACAACCGTTAACAAAATCCAAGTTCAACGGCAGGAAGTAATTAGTGGCAACAAAGTTAGTATCTGCTTGTGAAGTTTCTAAAAAGAACTTCGTACGACGACATCAAAACGAATATTTCCAAAGACCACATAACCCTTATTCTGAAAAATGTTGACTGTTTTATATTATAAATTTATACAGCCCGAAAAAAATTACACTAAAATTAAATGGTATCTATTCTTACCACTCTCAGATAAAGGTCTTAGATCTTTGTTGTCAATATTTTTCTATCCATTTTCTTATTTTATCTGGCATTATCTTCGTCCTCATCCTATTGCTTTATTTTATTCATTCCTTGTTCATCACATTCATTCTCCTTCGTGCATGTAAGTGCATACTTCATTCTGCACCGTTCACATGTCTGTCCTCTGTTTATTTCCAAACGTCAATGCGAATTCCTGAGACAGATGCAAAATAATAATTTAATTCAACACCTACAAACACAAGGAACGCGTGTTAACCGACCATGCGGCGTCCTTAACATTTAATGACGTTCAGGCATCATACGTCATCATAACCTGACACAAGGTGTTGGCGGAGAATGGGTCCAGGTGTTTGAATAAAGACTCTTGTTCAAACAGTGGAAATAAAGGCATCATCTCAGATACTATGTTCACACGGCACGATGTAAAATGGAGGAAAGGAACACTTCACACGGCTCTGACCGGGTATATAAATGTCTTTTGATAGTTTTTCGTCCAATATCAAACCTACTGTGCGGTAAGTAACAAACTTTTTGAGTAGGTAGTAGAAATGTAGTTCAATTGTGGGAATTTTCATCACGTATATTTTAATTTAATTTTCACAACGTAAGTCTAAAGACGCTGAATAAACAAAAAGTATTCAGTTAATTAGTTATTATTAAATAAAATGTGTGATTATGATTCAATTATAACATAAAAACAGTTAAGGTATTGTAGATGCGTCATATTGTGAATTAATAGTATTAAAATATTTAAAAATAACCGTCAATCACAATAAAATTAAAAGATTAAAAGATTAAAATATCATATTACGTTCCCTATCGAGTACTCGATTTACATATGGAACTTACACAACATGTTTCGGCTATATATAGCCATCATCTGGTGTTTTGTATATAAACTTTTCACTGAATTACTTTTAAGGATTTTTAAATATTTTAATAATAAAAACAATTATTTTTTTTAAATTCTTTGTTACTTTGAATATCTCATGTGTCTTACGTTTATTAATTCCAGATATCAATGTGTAATAATAAAGCTAATTGCACAACAACTATCACACTACATAGAAAATATTTTAACTTTTTTAGTTAAAATTTCAACACGTTTAAAATGTTTTAAACAAAAGTAAGCGAATTTATTTTTCTTCGATAAGTGACTTTCGAGAAATCGATAAGCCTCCTTAATTTTACTTTGTTAACAATACTAGGTGACATAAAAAATAATGAAATTTTTGAGATCTTTTGGCGACGAGAATGACGAATACTGTTTCCAGGATTCTTGCGTCGTTTAGTCTCGTAGAAATTGACCGACATTTCCGAGATCCTCTCTGTCTCCATCATCAGGAAGTGCTCATCGTCCTGATGATGAAGACAGCAAACACCTCTGAAACGTCTGCATATTTCTACCAGACTACAAGGCGCATGAATCCAGAAGACAGTCATATTGATAGCAAATGTAGTTCAGGGACAGGTGCTATACAGTTTTAATCCATACTCACGTTGTGATAATGATACCGGTCTTTCATAACAGAAACAACTTTCGACTAATAGTTACTGTATGCACCTGTGTTTGCTTACACTCATACGTAATTTTAATTTCAATATTGACGTCTTCTAACAGGAAAAAATTCAGGAAAGTGTGAAGGTGTGAATGTAACCAAACGTTGGATGTTTTTTGATGATTTGGTGCAAAACCGTCTTCTTACGTTAGTTCTAAATATGATCGTGTGAACACGTAGACAAATCTTCGTGTGTTGAAAACAAGGAAATAACTTTATATGGGTCTTGATCGTGTTAGCCCAAGTCTTAATACAGCTGACACTCGACTGTCATTTCATATGTGGAAGAACGGACGAAAGGACACGTAAGACATTGGAAAAAAGTGCTTATAATAGTCTAAGGTAAGTTTTCAGAAAGAAGAAATACACTATGAAATAAAATCTCAAAATTATCTATAATAAGTAGCAATGGAAACCACAAGTTAAGGAAATTGTATTACTGTACCTCACATCAGTGCGTCTGTCTGTCGGCGTTATTTAAACTTATGAAATTTATATCGGTTTATAACATATACAAAGCGGAATATTACTGAACATAATTTTCGGACACCGTACTAATCACATTATAATGTTCTTATTATATTAACAATATAAATATTTCTTCAAGTAAAAACATTATATTGTAGAACACAAGCGTTAAAAGGTGCCTACAACATACATTTTATACACATAATAAACTTTTGAGTTTCATAAAAGAACTTTTGACCACAAAGCAACTAGCAGCTTCTCAAGAAGAACTCTACTCCATTGAGTTATACGAGTTATATAGGCCTATTAATTCCAGGATACTAAACATTGCAGCATAGTCTGACTGTTTTAAGCAAACAAATACGTAACAAACAACACTGTCTAAGAAATAATCATTTGTTCACAGCTGGGGCTTCTACAGAATGTTTTATTCGGTCCTATTTGCGTGTGCAGTTGGAATGGTTTCTGCTGCAAATCCAGGTGAGGACAGCGTTAGGAAAGATGGGTAGGTTTGCACTGAAACAGGTTATAAGAAGGTAAGTCAAAGTTTTCGATCTTTCTTTCGAGATTTGAGATTTGCCCCGCTGCTGAATGCGCGGAACCTCCCTGTTGTTTTAGTCATGTGTTTGACTTTGACCGTTCAATTGTCATACGCAAAAGAAGAACAGTGTACAATGATTTGTTTCGGAGTGCTCTAGAGCAGTGGTATTCAACCTTTTTTGTTCGCGTACCCCAGATATAATTTCTCTTCAACTTTGTACCCCCAAAGTTGCTGGTGTATAATTCAAGTTATACATAGTATATAATCTACATTTAAAATAAATTAAATAAATTACATTACTGATTATTCAGTGTTTATCATAAAATAATATATATATATTTTAAAAATTTCACGTACCCCCTAAGATGTCTTCGCGTACCCCCGGGGGTACGCGTACTCCAGGTTGAAACCACTGCTCTAGAGTAGTCAAGGATCTGGCTATAACGTCCAGGGCAGACGAAGTTTGTGCTAGATGCGTTCACAAACAACTCATGTCTAAAAAGGCCGCTACATTCTTATTTTGCCCCATCTGCCCCAAATCCAATATAGTCGTTCACAAATTGAAAATCTAGGGAAATTAACATCACTTTGTGCTGCATTTATTAACTTGTTGGGTTATGTATGAGGACGAAATGACTCTTCAAACGCGACGCCGACGAAGAATATAAGGAGCTACAGCTGCTAAAAATACATTACAGCGTACATGACAACAGCTGAATTACATGTTTCATGATGTACGACGAGCTACAGACTGAATCCATATCAAATTAACACACACAAAATGAAACGACGTACTCATAAACAGTTCGCAGTTTGTTGTGATCCATAACATAAAATTAAATAAACATCTAAATATTAGATACCGGTATTATTTGTAGAAATTCTTTGCACTGATTTACGTGCAAGGCGACGGACGTTCCCGCAAAAGATTTCGGGTTTGAGACCTGCCAAATCCGTCACGTAATTTTCCGCCCCATTCGTACTCCAATCTAAAATGTGGGGCAACTCAATTTATCAAGAGCAATGTGAGATTCTGACGGTGGTAAAGAGGATTATGGTCTCCTGGGTTTTGACTCTATGTGGATTCGCACGTGTATGCCACACAACGCGGATCATTATATCAGCAATAATTAAGAGTCTATTTTGATGTTGCAGTGTACCTGAAATCCTACCTTCAACCAAATGATGATGTTGATAGAGCCACGTTCCTGAATTATACAGCAGATAGCGTTATCTGTGCTCGTGAATGTGTCGCAGGACAGACACCCAAAATCTGCTACTATCAATGGACGGTAGAAAATTACGCAACTCTTTCCGAGTAGGTATATTTATTCACAATTTTATCAATAGTTTGACTATTCTATGCTCTTAAATATAAACTATAATTCATTAGAAGATTTTATGTTCAGATAAATCAACGTGTTTCATGAGATAATTGTTTAATTTTAACCGTCTAATCACAATAAAATATTTTATTAAATATTAAAATATTATTACTACAATTAACATTCGATATTTAAAATATTTAAATATTTAAAATACTTTAAAATGATATATATATTTTAAATATTGAATGTTAATTGTAGTAATAATATTTTAATATTTTAATATTTAATAACATATTTTATTGTGATTAGACGGTTAAAATTAAACAACAACGTGTTTCAGTTTATATGAAGGCGTGTACTTAGTTTGGAAAATTTAATATCGTACCATATTAATAATTCGTAATGAAATAAACCTTTATGAACTCTTAGAAACGTTTGCTAATGCTTGTGCCATAAGAATAGAAATTCCTGTGGTAATTGGCCTACACGCCCATTCACATTAGTTATTTCTGTGCACTAAATAAATAATACAGGAAGGTCATTTGTTTATGATTGTTTACAATGAGGATAATATAGAAGCTTAAGTTCATTCCCAGCATGGCGCTAAAGTACAATTTGGCAGACAAAATGTTTGAGAACAGAAGACTGTGGAGAATATTTGGCCCTAAGGGTGTAATAAAGTCTTAATCTTCCGATTCTACAAAATCAGCGCATTTCTGCAGTAACTCAGGAACTACTTATTTTTTTAAAAAAAACTTCTATAGTCTTGAGTTATACATCACAAACCATGGCCATGAAGTGAACACAAGGCGTTTAAAATACATTTTTATAAATTACAGGCAGCAGAACTTGGAAAATAATATATCTGATCCTTCTCTTAATTTTATTCGTTTCCAGTGCGTGCAGAAATTGCCCCAAGAATCTAACGGACTGCTACAACAACCAATGCATTCCAGCCGACGGCTATGAGAGGGGTATTCTGTCCATAAACAGAAAGTTCCCAGGGCCGTCTATAGAGGTAAGCGGAATATCGAATAAATATTTCTGAAATGTAATGAACAAGAGAGGGCAATTACTGTGCAGTGGATGAGTATAAAGCAAGAACAATTTGTGACTTGTATAATCTTTCTTACGTAGAATATTATTTATCAAGTATTATTTATCAAGAATTTCTACTTACGACTTTTTAAATCACAAGTCAGATGATGTACGAGGTGCGATGGAAGGTTTCCAGACTGCGCTTATAAAAACCCGTACACTTATCTCAGGTATTAAATTCATCCATCACCTTCGAAGTAGTTCCCCTGGGAGTGAACACAACGATCCCAGCGCCGCTGCCAAGCCTGGAAGCATCCCTGGAAATCTTTCTTTGTCAGTCTGTCAAG